TTTTTAAAGTGAACTCAATTTTCTAAATGCATTCCGGGTGCATCAGAGCAAAAGGTGTGTAAAGTCTTGCAGTTCCTGTTCATTCTAAAAAAGCCACAGCCATAGTAGAAAAACCTGTCCCCTGCCAGCAGGCTGCAGAAGGACCTTTGCTCTTTGTCCGAGAGCAGTGGTTTCTTTGCTCTTTGGATTGTTCAGACCCTGCTGAGTCAGACCTATAGCTTTGCAAATGGTCCCTGCTGATTGGAGGGCTCTGGCTCTATAGGGGGCATGCTGGTCCTCGGCAGACCACTGCTTCCACACCGAGTCCTCTGCAGCAGGGGACTGGCTTTTCTACTCAGGCTGTGGCTGGTTTCTAAAGAAGCCAACTGTTTGACTTTACACGTCTTTTTAGTTGTGATGCTTCTGGAAAATATCTGATTTAGCTCACTTTGGCTTAAACATTTTTTTTTATTTTCAAGCAGCAAGAGAAAGTACTCATTGTGGCACCTGAAAGAGGTTTAGACAGAAAGCAGATAACCTATCCACCTTTCCCCCTTGTTGCTGAGTCACTGAGATATATAGTCAGTCCTACTTGGAACCTCCACCAATCAGATGTGTTATTCCTGCTGATGCGGACCTTCGGGGATATTACCTCTTGGAGTGCAGCTTTCCCTTCTTCGGAGTGGTGCAGCTTGGCTATGGAGAAGAAGTGGGTTTTAGAGGATGGGTCACTTTGTGTCTATGCATCGGCAATCTTTGATTGCCTAAGATTTGATAAGCAACACTATTATTCCAGCTGATTTAGGGTTCCCACCAGTCGGCAGTGGTGAAGTATAGGACCGTGAAAAGGTTTTCTACTTTCTGCGAGAAGGTGAGCCCTTACTCCTCTAGTTCTCCTGCCGTACTCCTTTCTGCTGTCTGTCTGGAACTATTCAAGGGGTAATCCACTTACACAGAGGTGAGTGAGTTAATAACATATTCATGACCTATAGATCAGCAGACTAGGAACATGGCGGTCACCTACATTCACACATCTGCCTTCCATCACCCCCTTCTATCCTAAAGGGTTGGTGTTTTTAAAGGTTTAGACCAAAAAACATTTCCCCCCAAAAACATGCCTTTTTATGACCTCACAATACGCTTGGCTTCAAGCACCTTTGTTAATGGTACAAAAGTCAGACATTTTTATATGAAATACTCTAAGCGTTGGCGTCTTATTGGCGCAGAATGCGGCACATTTGTTTAAGGGTTTTTCTAAGATCTTCAGATTTGCTTCTGACAAGTTTGGTAAAGGGGGCCCCTACACATGGGAACATTGTGACTATGGAATTATCTGAAGCCCTCGGAGAAGCAATTCATCAGGTGGAGACCTCCATAGCCCTGCAGCTAAACTGACCATGTGAAAGCAGTTCTAAGAAATAAAAACCCTTGTGAAAATAAAAAAACTGCTTATACTCCCTATAGGCACATGTGAATGAATTCAAATTTTGTATGTAGCCATTCTTCCTCCTCAGCGTGTCCTAGCTGAGCAGATCCGGACCGGTACAAGAGCAGTCTTGGCTCCAATGGCTCTGTAAGGGCTTCCCCTTTTATGTGAAATGCGATCGTATTGGCTGCGTTATTGATTGGAGAGGCTCTATGTTTTAAACCAGGCTTCTCAATTTTGCATACAGCTGGAATACATCCTTCTCAAGGTGTTTTTTTTTGTTTGGACACCGCTGCAGATTTTTATTGGTTTTGCCTCTGGAAACAGGTGTACATTGTCCAAGATCATTTGGGGACGCTGATCTGTCATTACAACTGGGCGGAGCCAGCCGTGAAATCACGGCTGGCTCCGCCTAGCTGTCATTTGCAAGGCGTTCGGCTGTCACTTCGGCCCAGTCAAGCCGAAGCATCTGCCTTCAGCTTGGCTGCTGCACGGGCTATTGTGAATAGCCCATACAGCAGCCCTTCGGGCCATTGCACAACGGAAACCAAGCATGACTTAGACCTGTGTCAGGAAAGCACTTACCTGGCGGCAGAAGGGCAAGCTTGTAGAACCCAGTGCATGCAGGAGAAAGCAGCCAGCTAATCACACGCCTTTTCCCGTGGCTCTGAAGAGTTGCGGTCAGTGCCACCTCTATAGGAACACAAGGAAGGGAATTTATCAAAACTGGAGCAGACAGAATTTGGAGCAGTTGTCAATGGCAACCTCAAGTTTATTTAACATTTGGAAATGAAAGAGAGAAGCTGATTGGTTGCCATGCACAGCTGCTCGCAGATTTTGTCTGCTCCAGTTTTGATATATTCCCCTCGAGGTGCTTTACTTCACGAGTGCCATACGTGCGGGTATAGAGTACGGTGAGAGTTACATGTAATGAATGTGAACCATGCGTTCTGCTTTGGTACTTTAAAGTGGAACATTTCTTTCCGGAATTTTAAGGCTTTTTAATGCAGTCTTATTGCACTTTCCAGGCCCTGGAAAAGTTTCGACAGCCAAAGTTAGTTTTTAATCAGAATTCCATTCCACGGTATGTTTGTGTGCGTGTGTGTTTTAAAAGGTGAGTAAATCGTTCCTTCATTCAATATTGCCAATTTTCATGGTGTAGAGCCCGGCCAAGGTGGACATTGGTGATCACTGCCAGAGGAACAGTGTCCAAGCGGCAAATACACTGGGGGGGAGAATTTATCAAAACTGGAGCAGATTTGCATGGCAACCAATCAGCTTCGCTCTTTCATTTTCAAATCTCAACTGAGCAAACTGAAGAAAGATGCTGATTGGTTGGTTGCCATGGGCAACTGCTCTAGTTTTGATAAATTCCCTACTACTGTTTTCTGTTGCTGTGCTGTGCTGTATTGGCCTAGCCTGGTAGAAGTTGGGGATCTGTATCCCCTGTTGCATGATTATCTGCCCCAGAAAAGGCTAAATGCAGCATTTTTACAATGTGGACAGCTGCCCTGTTTGAACATATGTGATAGGGAGAATGATTTCCATTTGAACGTGTGCTGAGTACAGAAAGTAGACACTGCCTCCTCCTTCAATGTAAAAGTTTCAGGATCTGAGCTTGCCCACCTGACATAGCCCTAAGGTAACTTTTTTTAAATGTATGAACGCAGGTCCTCCCGGCAAAGTAAAGAGCTAATGCCAACCCATCCCCGCCACCCACACTGCCAATTCTCGCTGTCTAATGGAGCTTCATCCAGCACAGCTCCTGTAGACGGGTATTAGGACTTCGGAAGAGGACATTTATTCATAGATTTAAAAAAGTAACCGGGTCACTCTAAAACTGGTTTGATTACCTGTAGGTATTAATAATAATAATATTATACAGGAGTTATACAGTGCCAACAGTTTGCGCAGCGCTTTACAATATAAGGAAGACATTACAATCAATACAATTCAAGACAAGATGGTGAGGAGGGCCCTGACCATGAGGGCTTACAATCTAAAAGGGAGGGGGAAGTGATAAATGAGGACTTGGGTAACATGTGAACCTTTTCACCAATTCTGTTATCCTTTTGGATTGTTCAGATTTAGCCATTTTTGCGTTTCATTTGTTCTCTGTCGGGAACTCTACAGACACATTTAAAAGGAAAAGGCAGTTTTTACTGCTTTTTGAGCAAATCGATGTACAGCTGCACATTACATGAGCGGGGTACTTTGTAGGCAAATGTCCTTTGCTGGTAATCATGTGAATCAGTATGAGCCTGTCCAGCAAAATCCACACACTGTAATGTGGTTTGAGCTACCCTGACCTGCGATTCAATTTGTACACCTCTAGTGCTTTGTAAGCAAGACTGCACACTCCTGTCCTTTTTCAAAGCTTTTTATTAGCCATCTGCCAATAACGGGCAGCAGTTTCCCCTTCTGAAACATGGCAATGTTCTACCATCAAGGAATCGCTGAACGTGGCCACAAAAATCTTATTGCCTTACCCAACTATATTGGGGATACTAGGCCTCATTTTGGAAGGAGATTGGAGGAAGAGTTGTCCACAGCAGCCAATGACCTTCTGGATTCCATACCCTCCTCAGTGCAGGTTTGAAAAGGGAAAATTTGATTGGCTGCTGTGGGGGCAATGCAAACCATTCTCCTCCCAGACAGCCTATGCTTGGGGTTTCTGATGGGTTATTGAATACTGGGGGAAGGGAAATGACACCCATACAATCCAGTTGGACTTTGTTTTAAAAAGAAGGAATTAAATGCTCAACAACCTTCTCTACCATTCAGGAAGCCTACCAAGTTGGAGGCCTGAAGTTTTAAATGCTGTCACTTTGTCTATTAAGGGTAAGGTGACAGGTTCTCTTTTGAGAACCTTGTTCCCCTCCTAACCCCTTGATACTTACCTTCCCCACCTCACCTATTGATGCTTGCCTTCCCCACCTCACCTATTGATGCTTGATTTCCCCACCTCACCTATTGATGCTTGCCTTCCCCACCTCACCTATTGATGCTTGCGTTCCCCATGTTCCCTCACTGCTCTGTTGCTCCGACAGTCCTAATCCCGTGTAACGCAAACCCTTTTCATCACATGACAGTATTCGGGAATGGTGATTTGGCCACTGCATACCAGGTATTTACTAAGGGTTCCAATGGAGCGTTGGCGGACCGTAGTGAGGGTAAGTATCCAAGGTGGAGGGAGGGGTCTGTTCTCCTGAATGCGTAATGCAACAGGTTCTCTTCAAGCTTTCAGCTAATTGATTGACTTTTTGGTGGTTATGGGAACAACACTTTTCCTTCCTCCAGTTTTGGTACCTCAGGCCAATT